TCTAAGATATCACCTTCAAGGTGGCAAAGAAGAGAGTTTGTTAGAGATGATAGTTGAAGAAATCAGCAGGCTGTGTGTGGCATACACTGCTTACAGTGAAGTCACTTAGGATGGTGGCAGGACTCAAGGTGCCAAATAAGTCTGATCCAGGTGCCTGATCCATGCATGAGGGGGAGGGACCAAACAATGTTGTGTAACAAATTACTACAATCTTAGTGACTGCAAACAATACTTGTTTATCACTTTCTAGTTGCTGCAAGTTAGAAGTCTAGGCACAGCTTAGTTGGGTCTTCTGCTCAGGGTCTCACAAGACTGTAATGAAGGGCCATGCTCTCCCTCAAGGCTCACAGTCATCTAAGCTTATTCATGGTGTTGACAGAATACAATTTCTTGTGGTTATAAAACTGAGGCTGCCAATTTGTTGCTGGCTATCAGCCAATGGCTGCTCTCAGTTCCATAATCTGCTCCCCAGTCCTTGTCAGATGGCTTCTCATAGGTGCTTTCACAATAAAGTAGTTTATATTCCCAAAGCCAGCAGTGGGATCTTACCTCAGGGAAGACCTTTTGTTAATTTTTTAAAATAACTGGTGATTGAATTCAATGCCTCACGAATGCTAGGCAAGCTATCTACCACTGAACTACATCTCCAGCCCCTGTTCTTCAGTTTAAAGGCTCATCTGGTTATGTCAGATCTCTGCAAAATGATCTCCCTTTTAATGAACTCAAAGTCAAACAATTAGGGACCTTAAAATTATCTGTAAAATCCCTTCACATTTGCCATACTCTACTATTTATAAGCAAGTAGTACATTCTACCAAAACTCATGGAAGGGGATTATGTAAGGACAAGTACATAAGGGGAACAAAAAACTTGGAGCCTTCTAGAATTTCACCTAACACAAATGAGCTTGAGTGTCAGTTTTACCAGTTAATAGAAAACTTAGTCAATACCAATTCTTTCCCAGTTACTCCAGGATTTTCTTACTGATTTCCAAATATTGTGATCAAACAATTCAGGATTTTTGTTTCCTTTGCCCCAGACTACCACATACACTCTGTGAGTCTCTTAAATTCTGTCTCGGGGTCTGTAGGGAGACAGAATATCTGGTCATTTCATTGGCAACCTGTCCATAACAGCATCCATTCCAAATTACAAACCCATATAGTACTCAGTTGCCTCCCCATGCTGCTTCAACATCACAGGAAGTTCGGCGGGGAGGGGGAGGGGGCTTCCCTCTATTTAGTTTAGCAGCTAAACTATGCTAACCTGGTGTCCTGGTGTGAGGGGAGTTTCTAAGACTCCACATTTTTGAAGTAACATGGCACCACAAGTCTCCTTGCCCTTCAACTTCAACTTCACCTCCACTTTTGGGGTAGGGGAGAGGGGTAGAACATATCAGTAAATTATTCCCCAATATCCTGCCACAGGACAATTCAAGACTGTTTCTCATTCTTGCTTTCAAGATCCATGGATGGGCACTCCTTGAGGGTAGTCTCTGACTCTTCCATTCACTTCTGATCCCCAGGGCTAGCACTACCTGTTGGGTTTTGGGTTTTTGTTGTTGTTGTTGTTGTTGTTAGTTTGTGTTTGGTACTTCAAAATGAACCCAGGGCCTTGTACATGCTAGACAAGGGCTCTACCCCTGAACTATGACCCCAGTGCTTTTGAAATTTTATTTTGTGAAAGGGTTTCACTAAGGTGCTGAGGCTGGCTTTGAACTTGTGATCCTCCTTCCTCAGCCTCCTGAGTAGCTAGGATTACAGGTGTGTGCTACCATGCCTGGCCCCATCTGTTGGATTTCAAGGACTCATTGAAATGAGAGGCATTATAAGAATTACCTGAATGAGGAAAGAGAATGTGTCCCAGGCTGTACTCAGCCTATGAGGACCTGTCAGTGACAACCCTCTCACCCTACAGCATGGTGGGCACAGCCCTGGGTTTTGTGGGTATGTGAAAAGGTGTCCTCAAGAGGAGTCTAATGTGGACTGCAACTGCCACCAAATATACTGAGTACACAGGGCATTGTTCTCAGGAGCGCCTGTTTCTAGGTGCAAGGCACACCACTGGGATTCTATTCTCAAGCTGTCTGAAGAGTAAGGATGATTGGGGGTAGGCCTGGGCCACCCTGAGTTTTGAAGCAGCAGTAGCAGCCCCAGGCTCCATGGGGCTTAAGAGAAGAGAAAGTGAAATACATCATAACCAGAATCTAATTCTACTTTATTTCCCTAGAAGTAGAAATGAAGCCCCACGGGACATGAGAGGGCAATTGAGGGGCTGGGTATCATGGCCACCTTGATATTTACTGAGTTCTTACCCCAAGTCACATGTTGCCTCAAGTACTTTATAAGACAGTTTTCTCCTTATAGGAGAGGCTATTCTGAGCCCTCTTTGCCTCTAGAGTCTTACACCACCATCTGACCAACTCTTCCCTCCTTTTCCCTTCCCTTTTCCCCCTTTAGTTCTTCCCTCTTCTCTATCCTTTCCTCTCTTCTTTCCAAGCCCAGTCTTTTCCATCATGCCTTTCACTGGTTCAACCAGCTCAGTTCCATTTGGGCAGAGAAGGGCATGGTTTGGAGCAGGCAGCAGAGCCATAAAGTAGAGGATTCCCAAAAGCCTCTACCAGGCATCACCTAAGTTCTGGTGTTGTCTAACACTGCTTGAAAGGCAATTCATGCCTTTAAAACATATATTGTAAAGTGAAAATAAGATTAAAATTAAATAATTAAAATAAAAACATCCAACAAGATCTTTGGGAGTGTTGAATTGTCACTGAAATATGAATGGCTCTTTCTCCATTTGCATGGCCTTTGAAAGAGGGGGATACATTTGGTCACTGCCTTTTCTCCTGGTTTGCTCTGTTCCTCTTTGATATAGGGAGGATTTCTGTTTATTTGCCCAGACCATTACAAATTACCTCTGGGAAGGGAAAGGACTGTGGCTTTGGGGAAATAAAAGAGGACTCTCACAGTTGAAGGTGTCCTCACATGGACATGAGTGAAGGCACAGGATTCTGTTCCCTCAGGCCTGCCCATCATAAACCCAGGATCCCTTCCCATAGTTCATGCCTGCACTCTCAAGCTCTGACAAACAGATATTTCTTGCAAAGAGGAGCCTACAGCTGGGATTATCAGGACAAAGTCCATACACTCCTACAAGAGAGGCAGAAGTGTCACATTAGAAATAAAAAGCCAGAGGACAGGTGGACTAGGAAACACTGCAAACAGTGCTCCTAGGTCTTGGATGGACAGTTCTCCAAGGCCTCTCCTCTAGGAGTGCTGTCGGACATACTTCAGATGTGGATGGGTATATCAATAGAACAAACAGCTAGACGTAGCCAGGAATATGATACATTCCAGGGCGGTGGGAGAGGGGGAACAAGCACAGTGGAGGAATCTGTCAAGGCACAGAGAATATCACAGACCTAGACCTAAGTGGGCCAGCACCCCAAAGGAGCCAGTACTTACTGCCAAGAAAATGTAGCAAGAAGACCAATCTTGCTGAATAGATGAGGAAGATCACCCCTCTTTTCCACAAGATAAGCAAGATACCAATCATTAAAAATTTCAATTCTATCTTTACCAAGACGTGAGTTCCCTATGTCCTGTATATTGTCATCAGCTTTTTGTTGTTCTTTTTCTTTCTTCTTGTTTTTTTTTTTTTTTTAAGAAATGTGGCATTTGGGAAACAACAGATGTTACCTCTTGTAGTATCAGTGTGACATATTTTATAACATCATAAAAAATCTACCAATATGATAGAGAATCAGAAAATTCTGCTCCATTTGTGTACAATGAATCAAACAGCTTTCTACTGCCATGTGTAACTGATTAGAACTAATTAAAAAATAAATTAATTAATAAATTTAAAACTTTTTAGAAAAGGCCTACCAATATAAGAAACTTTTCTAATGTCTCTAAGGGACCAATAAAAACACTCCAGGGAAGAAATCATACCAGAGGGGATTCTTGCTAAAAAGGCATGCTATTCAAACATGAAATGAAGATTTCAAAAGTCGTCAAACCCACAACTGGGAATACTCTCCATTGAATCTTGGAGTCTTAAGTTTTTCCTTTGTGCCTGAGTAGGAAAAAGCTTTAAAGTTCTGTCCTAACCCTGACCTTGTAGTCCAGGGTGGAAACCACCATTTTGCCCTAGCTGGTAATTTATTCTCTACCTTTTTGACTGGTCAGAGTTAAGTGATCACATGATAGGGCAGTCTTTGAACCATGAGATCTGGAATCAGACTGAATTAATTTCAATCTCAGCTCCACTGCATGACCCTGAAACACTACTAAACTTCTCTGGGCCCCAACAGAAAATGTAAATCCCATAAACAGCCAATCTGGAGACCCATTCTCAGACTCCAAAAGACAATCAATAAACAAAGGCTTTAGGTAGCAGGTTCTGCTCACCTGCTGGGACTCTAGCCAGTACAATTCCCAAGCCAGTCCTTTCAGCCTGCTCCAGTTCCAGCCCAGCTAGGGCACAGCTGCAATAATTGCTAGCTCTTCTGAGCATTGCTTGTGAATTTCAGAGAGATGCCATCTGGACCAGCAAAATATTTTCAGTTACACAATGAAAGCAGCAACTGGGTGAGCTGATACTGCCAAGATTCTTTTGTCTTCCCTATATCTCAAAAATCAGAGACTCCTAAATCATGCAACACCCCAGCATTGTGTAGATGAGCTCAAGCTTTGTGTTTACTGTATTGGGAGACTGCACAGAATGCAGAAGGCTCCCACACTTACAGATTTGTGGTGCTAAAACAGGCCCCAACTTTCAAACCTGTTAGTTTTACCTGAGTAGGTTCTCACTGCTACCCCATTGGCACCAGAAGCCACTATACTTCTTTGGTCAAAATCTATGGATACAATGTGATTCCCTAGCTAGGACATTGCCGCAGTCTGGCTGGGCACAATTCAGGAGCCACTTGTCAAGCAGGAACAAACTTTATTTTTTGAACACATGCCACACCACGTGAGCTCTCCAGGAATTCCCCAAGAGCCCAACTGCCACCACGGGCTCTTTGGGGAATTTGAGCACCTCAACTGGAACCCTTAGGTCCTGCTCTTGAGGCAGATTGGCTGGGTCGTGTTGGTGGAGCCAAAAGAGTTCCCCAAATGAGCAGCTCCGTGGTCTGAAAGGGCGGGGAAACAGCCCAATGAGCACTACTGCAGAGGAGCCAATCAGCTGGAAGTTTGCTGGGGCCGTTTCGGCTGCGGCTCTCAACAGGACATACCCTAGAGGACCTTTGTGATGGAGGCCCTAAGGGCCCAAAGCGCCTTTTTCTTCTTTTCAGGCTGGAGGCTTTTCACTGCCTATTTCAGTCTGTAATCTTCAAGGCTCAGGCCAGGATCTCCATGCCACTCCTTATTTCTTAAGGCCTTCCCTGGAAAATACAGATATGTCTTCACTCCACTATTAGTTGTAGAGTGTTTTGCAGATTACAAATCACTCTCACATGAATTATCTCACCCCAATGAGATAGACTGAAAAATAATATATTTTGGGAGGAGATTTTAAGTGGTACCTATCTTCTAGATGAGAAGATTGAGGTTCAGAGAGGTAAAGTGACTTGCTCAGAGTCAAATAACCGGTAAACATTGGAGTCAGTGCTCAATCCCAGGTTTATAACATTTTCTGGGCCCCACCAGAAAATGTCCTGCTCCCCCTGTAGAGGATCAGCTATCATTATCTGGATAGCTCATTTGTTTGTGTGCCTTTCTGCCCCCGCCCCCACACACACCTTTCCTTTACAGACAATGGATAAAATCTCACAGCTTAACAAAATCTAAAGTTCCTATGTCAATAATCCTATAGTGAACCTGAATTGGTGATGCCAGGTTTGGAGGATGGGGCAGCAGGAAAGCAGGTGCCATGGTCACAGCAGAGTCCCTCTGCCACCTGCTTTCCTTTCATCATGAGGGTAATATTCTATCTCATCTATCAGAATAACCACTGCATTTTAGGAAGAAAGCAGGAGGCAAGTGGCTAAAGAACCTGATAAAGACTCACTCAAAGAAGTCTGGAAGATAGGCTCCAGATATCCCACTTCTACTCATGTACAGAGTCGCACACGTAGCCACACTCTCCAAGATGTGGAGTCAATGTCTTCCAGGCTGTCAATGGAAGGGCTGGGCTGAGAGCCCGTGTCAACCAATTCCCAGGAAGGTTCAATAACAGGAGATAATTTTTACAGCCACATGTAAAAAATGCTGGGGTGATAAGAGAAAGGTGTTTGGCAAGGCATAGCATGAACCAAATATGTTCTCCAACTAGATACCTTTTAGAGAAAGATGTGGGAACAAATAACCACTTGACTATGAGAATCAGGCATGTGGTTTCTGAGATGGGAAGTGGTAGTAGGAAGTGGAGAAAAGGGAAGCATGAAGTGATACTCAGCAGTTTCACTGAATCTTTGTTTCTGTTCCAATAAGGGCTAGTGGGAACAGATCCTTTGAGATAAAAGTAAGGTCAGTGCATGGGGGATGTTAACACAAGTGAACAATCAGATTAAGCCTTCACATAGTCCTCCTGCAAGTCAAGTGCTACATCTACCTGGAGTTAATATTTCCCATTTGGAGCTGAGTGGTGATGGTAGCACATCAATGTGAAGATATTTAATGCCACTGGAATTTTCACTTAGAAGTGGTTAAGATGATGACTTTAACATGTGTGTGTGTGTGTGTGTGTGTGTGTGTGTGTCTGTCTGTCTGTCTGTCATGGTTTAGATATGAGGTATACCTCAAAAACTCCTGTGTTGCTGCTGGAATATTCAGAGGTAAAATGATATCATGAGAGTTGTAACCTAATCAGTCCATCCTAATTTGAATGGACTGAGTAGTACTTACCTGTAGGCAGATGGGGCATGCCTGGAGGAGGTGGGTCATTGATGGTGTGCACTATAAGGGTGCATATTCCCTGCAGCTCATTCTCTTTTCTCTTTCTGATTCCTGGCCACATAAATGGAGAACAGCACTTTTCTACCACACCCTTCCATCATTATGTTCTGCCTCATCTTGGGCTCTGAGCAATGGAGTCAGTCTACCATGGACTGAGCCAAAAATCAACTTTTCCTTTTCTAAGTTGCCCTTATTGAGTATTTTTGTCATAGTGATGAAAAGCTAAAAAATATAAAGATATAGATGTATGCATAAATCTTCATCTATATCTAGCCATAATAAGATAGGATCTGTCGGGAGCTGCCCTGGATGCAGACACCTTTAAGTCTTGATGCACCAGGTTCTGAACAATTATTGCCTTCAGGGTGGCATGATAGTGTCAGGTTGCAGAAACTTGGGCATTATCCCAGCTCCGATAGCAAGGCATGGCTCCAGGAGTAGGTGTCATCCACTGGGGTTGAGTTACACTCACCCATTCCTTTGTAATCCTACCCCTTTGCCCTTTTTGAGATAGAATGTTCCATGGAACTCCCCTTGTGTGATCCCTATAAAAGAATAAAGAATTCCAGTGGCTCTCTTTCTTTCCACAGACCCTTAAGATCGGAGATCCCACATGGATTTTGAAAAAAATACTTTTGTATATTTGCATGCTTTCTTTGTCATTTTCTTAAGTTATTGAAATAGTCAGATTTTGTGAACCCAGCATTAGGTTGCCAGCTAGGATAGATGGCAATAAGGATCTATGACACGATCTGAGTTGTGGTAATCCCTAATGTCTCACAGGCACCAGGACAGCAAGTGTTGTGGGAAGTTCTCCCCTATTTGCCTTTTCCCAGGCCTGTCCTGAGGACAAGGACCCTATTAAAAATGTGGTTCTTAGCATTTCTGGTCCTCCCTGCAATCCCTAGCATTCTTGGAGGTTCTCCTGAGTCAGAAACTGAAGTCTAGGCTATAGACTGTTTCTCAGCACTGTAGACCTTCCATCTGTCCCCTGGTCACCACTTGTCTCCCCACTCTCTCAGCTAGACTCCTGTTCCTGAAACTCCTCAGAATTAGAATTAAGTTGTTCTCATCTTTTGCTTGAGAAGATATACCTTTTTGCTTCTTTCACCTCTTTAGCATCTGAGTACCCAGGAAAAGCTTTCCCTTTAAGCTCTCTTATTTCTGTGGGAGACTTTAATTGATCCTTCCCTACCCATTCTATTCGCTTATTTTTTTTCCACAAATACTGTTAATATAGGCATTGGCTGAGCCTCCACCTGTCAATTCACATGTACTCACCCTCACTGCCTACTCTCTAGCTTTGCTCACTGTGCTCCAGCAAACATAACCCAGTTTGATTCAGTTTGTCCCTGAGTCTAGCAGGGTACAAGACAGGTCCCAACATACATGTCACTTCAATTTTCCCCAAACTAGACTCAATAACAGTCAAATATCAAAAGTAGAAGGTAAGAAAAAAATCCAGTGATTTTGTTTCCAGGGATACTATGGTTATATACCAAGAAAGTCATGTATTGTCACCCTTTTTCCTCAGAGACAGCCTCCCAGCATGTTTATCAAGACCTAGTTAGGTCCCTCAGGGTGTGGGTACACCTAGAGAAGGAATTGAGTATTTGTGGATTTCTGTACTTAAGGTAGAATACTTCCAACACCCACCAGCTCTGAGAATACTTTCCCAATCTTGGGAAATCTAGCAAGAAGTCTGTACATTAAAACTAACATTCCTAGAACACATAAGCAATGACAGACACTTCCAGATTCAACTCAAGCACCATATGTGAAGTGATTAGTCACCACAAGCATCATCCCACACAGCTTCCAAATGTCACTTTATCAATGAAATCATATTAACAACTGGGTGAGCAAGATGTGGCAGGGATGTTAGCAGCCTTAGATAGACATGGACACTTCACATGGTAAATCAATCTTGAAAAGACTCAGGAGTCTGCCATATTAAATTAGTGTTCAGTGATATGGTAGTCAGGAGCATGCCACACGTTCTCTAGAAATAAGGGAAAAATGATGACATGTCACACCTCCCACCACTAAGAACAAAGCACAAGGCCATGAAGGCCTATTTGGGTCTGGTATCAGGGAGTCAAGAGCTGTGGTAACCCCACTTACTATCTCTTCCCATGATCAGGAATTTGTGATGCCTGCCCCCACAACTTTGGGTTCTGTAGTTAGACCAGCACTGTCCAATATGGTAACCACTAGCCACATTTGACTATTTAAATCACGATAAAATACAACTACATATTAAGTTCCTCAGTTACACTAGCCACATTTCAAATATTCAGTAGCCACATGGGTCTAGTGGTCCTTATTGAACAGTGTGGGCTAGGCACTCTGGTTTCCCAAATGGGAATGATTACACCAGGAGTCACAGTAAGAGTTCCATTAACTACCAAGCATGGCTGACAAGTGAATTACAAGTCATGGGCACCTTGGGCTCTTCATATTATGGAACCCACAAGCATGAGAAAGAGTCATCCATCCTATCAGGAGTCATGGGCCCTGGTCATCAGGAGGAGGCAGGTATGTTCTCACATAATAGAAATAGAGGGATAGGTTTAGTAACCAGGTGATCCACTCAAATGTGTCTTGGTGATCCCCTGATTTCCATGATAAATTGATAAGGGTACATTCCATAACCTGGGAACAGGGGGGACAAGGGGCTCAGAACCTTCAGGGATGAAGATCTGAGTAGCTGGCTGAGATGGAGGGGACTATATTGCAGAATTCCCTGTGGGACTGATTGAAATTTCTCCTTCAACTATTTAACAACTCCACTGTTTTCCCAATTCTACTCCCCTTACCATGTTGTCTGTAATTTTCTAGATTAAATCCTGTCATACCATGTCAAATTGTAAAAGGAAACAATTGAGATGATGAAATATAAATCAGCCACACCCCTTTTCCAGAATGCCTTTGCCCAGGTAAGTCTGGGGACTTCTAGTTATGGAGGTGTGCCTCCTTGTGCACTGAGGGTTGGGGTCCCTTCAGCTACTGTTTGGTGGTACTGAGTGTGCCAGATACCTGCCTGAAAGAGGGAAGCATATTCTGGAAAATTGTGGTCCAAGAAATGTGATTATCCACTTAAGGAATCTTGTGCCTTCAAGGCCTCCTCACTTCATTGGGTGGAGGGTATCCTGGCCCTAACATGCTCAGGGCCTTGGCCAGCTCTCTCCTGGTAGGGGGTATGGCTTGGTACTATAGAATGCTACCCATGGGCAAGGGCCAGCCAACTAGCCATGCATGGTAGCCCTCCTCCACGAGCCCCTTCTTGGAGCTGCCTCCAAGCATATTGCTCCCTTGGGGTGACTGGGGACACTGTCTCATTGGAAGATACAAGCATCTGCTTGTTTGAGGGGCTGACTTCTGCCTTGTCTTGCCAGGAGGATGCAATCTCTGGCACCTGGGTGAGGCCCAAATCCCACTGTGTGGCTTTGAGATCTGCATGACTCAGCCACCAGGCTGTTGCTGA